AACCTGTGAGGACCAGTGTGAAAAGTGTGGCATTTCGACAGGGTCAACATGTTAAAAAGCTATGTTAAAAAAAAGTCTCAAGTAATAGAATAAAAAATACCCATAATTCCACTATGGTTATAGGATAGTTTTACTTTCTATTTTCTTAACTTCTGAACTGAGACTTTCACAAATGTGTGTCTTCTACAACTGCCCCTATTCCTCCCTCTCCCCACAAATTACAGGGGACTTTCCACTTTATTAATTTCTGTATTATCTGAACTTTTGGTGTTAATTTTATAATGGTAAAATAATTTTTAGAACTGAGTTGATGTGGTGGTCACCATGGGCTGCCTATTGGCTCTACATTTCCCACACCTTCTTTGTAAGGAACCACAGTTTTTTTAGGTTTTTTCTTTTAGAATGGGAGGGAGGAGGGGGAACATTGATGTGAGAGAGACACATCAATTGGCTGCATCCCACTCGTGCCCCGACAGGGACCAGGGGTCGAACCTGCAAACCTGGTATGTGTCCTTGACTGGAAATCGAACCCAAGACCCTTCGGTCTGAGGGCCAGTGCTCTAACCACTGAGCAGAACTGGCCAGGACAGTAACCACAGTTTTGCTCATGCCTTCTCCATGCAGGCAATGGGCTTGTGAGGCTGACCCTGCCCATGGGTACTTCTCTCCCCCTTGTTGGTGGTTGGTCAGGAATCCTCACTGGAGCCAGCCAAGGCAGGGCAATGACAGCCATCAGAGTCTGTTACTGGTCCAGCAGTAAACTTAGGTTTTAAAACTGGCCCCACAGCCTAAATGGAGAACTCATATTCCATGTTTCAGGGGGAAGGTGATGGAGGAGCTTTTTCCTGTCTACTTACTGTCTACTGGTGGTATCTGACCTACTCCTCAAAGGAATTTAAAACTTAATGTGCATTACTGAAAGTACTCAAAGAATTTCCTGTTATTTAACTGTGCATTTTCTGTATAATTTAGAGATCAAAGACGAGACAACAAACTGTGGTTCAAGTAATATCTTCCACTCCCTGTGGAGTTTAATATAGATTAGTACATATTCATTAATGTAAAATGTTAGCACACATTCCCTGTCTCCCAAGGGCTTGCTTGTTGGATAGTGAGGAAAACAAACAGTCGAAACACCACAGTGGTGCCCTGGCCAGGATGATCGGAGCACTGTCCCATACACCAAAAGGCTGAGGGTTCAACCCTGGTTGGGGTGCATATAGGAGGCAACCGATGGATGTTTCTCTCTCACATCAATGTTTCTCTCATTCTCCCTCTCTTGCTCCACCCTTCCTCTCTTTCTAAAATCAATTTTAAAAAAGTGTAAGTCCACACGTTAGATTCAATTAGATTCAATTAGTGGGGCATGCCTGGATGCAGAAAGGCAGGTAAGGAGCTTTCCCAAGTGGCTGCAGAAGATGGCGGAGGCACAGATCCCAGTGCTAGATGGCTGAGACCATCTCCTGGGCACCTGGCAGCCACCGTGGCCAAGCAGGTACTGCTGGGCCAGAGGTGGTGGTTGTGCACTGTGAGGGCATCAACATTTCTGGCAATTTCTACAGAAACCAGTTGAAGTACCTGGCCCTACCACTTATAAGCCCTGGGCGCATTTTCTGGTGCACAGGGCAAGGCATGCTGCCCCTCAAGACCAAAGTGTCTGATGGGATCCCGCCACCCTATGACAAGTAAAAGCAAGTGGTGGTTCCTGCTGTCCTCAAGGTTGTGCATTCTAAGCCTACAAAGAAGTCTGCCTACCTAGGAAGCCTGGCTCACGAGACTGGCAGTCACAGCCACGCTGGAGTGGAAGAGAAAGGAGAAGGCGAAGACCCATTACCAGGAGGAAAAGCAGCTCCTGAGGCTACAGAAACAGGCCAAAAAGAACGCGGAGAAGAAAGCTGACAGATACACACAGAGGTCCTTGAGTCCCATGGACTCCTGGTCTGAGCCAGTAATTGGCTGGTAATTACTAAAAAAAAAAAAAAAAAAAAA